CCAAGAAGATCAAGGTCGAAGCAAATGAAGATCAAATTTTTCAAGACTTTGAAGAGTCTCTTTGCGGGATTGAGTTCATCCAAGAAAGACGAGCTTTAGGATTCAAGGTTTTACTCTAGACCTTCAATAGAATGATAGAGATGAAGAAGATATGGACATATGGCTTCTCCAATGAAATCTTGGTAGTATACACTAGAGCAAGATTAATGACAAGCATTAGCCTATTCAAAATAAAGTAGAAAAGAAAGGAAATCTTTGAAAATCTGGTCCTAGCTAGTAACGTAGTCCATAATAGACTATGCAAGTTGTTAAAGCATGACAATCATCGTGGTTTTTGCTACAAAAAAGAATCTACAGAAGGAAAAGTTGAAGCCCTATGTGACGAAGGAACCACTCCCTTAGATAGTGAAAAAGATCTCATCATCCTTTGAAGAATCCAATGTAAAAAGACGTAAGCTCTTACGTCATTAAAGAGAAAGAAGAGTGATGGCAAGATACCATGTAATCTGCTTTAGCAAAAGCAAGAAGTAAGTTTGGATCATCAGATAATAATGTAAACTTTAAATGTCAACAATGACGGAAGAAAATATTCTAAAAAGCGCTATAAAAAGCCTCCTATAAGCTATAATAAGTATTGGGCATTTGAGCATTTGAACATCCAAATACCTTTCTTGAAAAACCTTATACCATGCATCTATAAACACCTTTCAAGAGGAAAGGGAACTTTCCTTTTCTCTTCTTAGAAATAAAATCATGTTTTAGAATAATTGTTGTGTTTCTATCCTTCTTTATTTCCATCATAAAATACAATTAGAAAAATCCCTGAAGAAACCTAGGTGGTAGTGGAGTCACTTGTCTTGTCCAGATACCCATTGTAGCCTAAGTTTGGTGTGGAGGGTTGGACAAAAGAAGCATTAGCTTGACTGAAGGCTAGACTAAAGGATTTTTAGGTAAAATCTAGCTCATTTATTGTATCATGCGAAAGCAAGGTGGGCGTAGAAATAGCTTTATTATTCTTTAACATTGGATTATTTTTAAAATTAGAAACGTTGGGGAAATAGTACCTAACCTCTTATATTTTGAATAGGAAAGTTCATTTTTATATTGACTCATGATACTTTAAGATGCTTGATTTCATTCAAAAAATTGTTGTAGATAAGAAAGTTTATGAGCAACAATTCGAATATTATAGAAAGAAAATAGTAAAAATTTTAGAGAAAATAAGTGATATTGAAGATGACTATCATCTATTCAAGAATCTTAAAAAATTGAAGCAAACAACAACACATTTAAATGAAGATCTAAAAAGATTAAAAGGCTAAGCAAAGATTATCTCTATTAGTAGTTTAATAGATCTAATTCCACAGTTAGTAAACTTAACATACCAACTAATGATTAATCAATAATCGTTTGAGTTAGGTTTCGAAAATCCATTAGAAATCTGGTATCAGAGCCAAAGAAAAAGGTTTGGTTAAATCCCTGATTTAGTCCCTCAACTTTCATTTTTGAACTAAATTTACCCTCGAACTTCAAAAGGTACTAAAAAAATCCCCAAACTTCAATTTTTGGGACCAATTTTGTCTTTCTGTTAGTTAAGTGCTGATGTGGCGAAATTCTCCGTTAAAAAATTCAATTTCTATTAATATTGAATATTACGTGGAAATAAAATAAGTGATATCACATCTTTTAATTATAAAAATATTATGATGTGGCAACATGAATATAATTTAATAAATAATTATTAAATAAAAATTTCTTTCCTTTCTTTGTTTTTTTTCCCTTCTCTTTCCTTTTCTCCTTCCCCTTCCTATTAGGTTCGAAGGTGTTGGGTTCCATCAAACTCCCATTCAAAGTAATTCCCAACCCAATCTTCAATTCCTTTCGACGACATGATGCAGAGGCCCCGACAACACTACGAGGGCACTGCCATGGGCTCCACCGTTTTCAATCTCCGGCCTAGCCTCAGTATCGAAGCCTTCACTCTAGGTGCGTAATCTCCCTCCCTTTTCTCATGGAGCCAGCCTTCCTTTTTTTTTTTTTTTTTGTTTAGAATACAGTAATTAGTTTTGAACTCTTATTGTTTGATGAATTGCAGATTATGAAATTGATTTTTGAAATTTGAATTCAATTGGGCTCCTTCAAACCCAGCGTCTGGGTTCAACCCAGCACCTGGGTTTAAGCCCAAGCACAAGTTTCCTTGAACCCAAGCCCTGGGTTCAACCCAACATGCTTGGGTTCTTTGGAACCTTCTTCATTCTTGCTTTTTGCTTCTTCTTTCCTCTTTTGGTATTTTTGACAGAAATCCCATGATTTTTTATCATTGGTTCTCATTTTCTTCTTCTTTTTTTCTTCCTCTTTCTTTGTTCTTCTGTTTCTTTGTTGGTTGTAGTCATGCTTGGCTATCTTGGTATGGGATTTAGAGTTTTGTGTGGCTTTTGCTTGCTTGAATTTTAAGATCTAACTACGGTTGGTGTTGATTGAAGGGATGTTGTGTTTTTTGCATTCTCTTTTTCTTTTATAGATTTGGTATAAGTTTGCAATATGATTGATTTGTTGAATTTTTACAGATTTGATATAAGTTTGCAGTGTAATTAATTTTTTGAATCAAATCTATTGGCCATTATTTTTGTGTGAGGAACCAGATTTGGGTTCTATTAGAAAGGAGGTTTGGGGAAGAAGGAGATGGTGATTGGAGTGGTAAGGGATGACCAAAGCAATGAGGGATGATCGGTGTTGAGTGGGTTGCAAGATGAAGAGGCATTTGAGGATAGAGAGAGACGAGAAGGGAGAAAAATAGGGGGGTTGGAAGATGAAGATGGGAGTATTTAAGGAATTTTAAATTTTTTTAATATATAAATTAATTAAAATGACATGGACAATAAAAATATCATAGTAAGTTAAGTTATTTTCCATGTAATTAAAGATTTCAAACAAGAATTGATTTCGTGGCAAGTTAATGTGCCATCTAGCACTTCCATTGATGGAAGGACAAAATTGGTCTCGAAAATTGAAGTTAAAGGATTTTTTTAGTACTTTTTGAAGTTCGAGTGTAAATTTAGTTCAAAATAAAAGTTGAGGGACTGAACCGGGGATTAAACCAAAATGTTTTTAAGAATGGAATTTAGAGAGTTAATAAGATTTTATGATCAATACATTGAAATTATAACAAACATTATAGCAAAAGCAAAAATGATATCCTATAAAATTGATGAGTTACCATGGGACAGATATGTTTATAAAATTTGTAGAGCATCAGCTCTAGAAGAATTAAAAAAATTTAGCAAGATAAGAATAAAAGCTATTTTCAAGGCATACATAAATTCAAGGACTAAAAAATCAAAACAAAATAGTTAGTGGACTAACTGTTCTCTTGTAAGAAAATTTCTGTTAAAGATAACGGAGTCGATGAAATTTAAATAACTCTGAAAGATAGTAGATAGGATTAGAAGAATTGAAAGATAATAGATGAAATTGAAAAAAATATGAAAGTTAATAGATGATTTGTTAAATTAAACCAACTCAAATGGGTCCTAGGTTGGGCATGATTTGGGCCTGCTCCGGCTATACTAGTTGAGTTGAATTAAAGCTCATTTTCTTAGGCCGAAAAAGGCCCGATTTCTCATTAAGACATTATCCTATGTACTATTATTCTTGTAACCTATTTTCATCTGTTTCTAGAGCCACAGAGCTGTTCAATAGAAAAAAAAAAAAAAAAAAAGGGGGAAATAAGTAAATTAGCCCATAAAAACAATCTTTAACTAATTATAAAATGAGATTAGTGTTTATCTACTTTACTTACTAAAAATTAAGAGAAAATTATCTTAAAATTTATTGTTTTAATATAGTGACATAACAAAAAATCAAAAATAATCTAATTCATGTTTTAAAAATATGATATATTAGTCTTTTTTCAATAAAAGTTTATTAAAATAATGTAATTTTAAAATATTTTTTTTTAATTTTTAAGAGTTAAAATCAATAAACACTTTTCCTTATAAAATACTACTAAAATCCTCAAAAATACCCAAAATAATACCTTAATGCCAAGAAATTTAATACCCGAGTCTCAAATAATATAGATCCAATATAAAATTCCTTAAGGCCCAATTAAAAATAAATCTAGGTGCCTCTTTTGTTAATTTCTTAGATCATATATTTAATTGTAGCAAAAGGACATTTAATGTCTTCAAAATATATACAATCAATAATTAATAGTTAAAAACATTGCATCTGTATACACTAATTAATATATTAACTAAATTTATTAACTCTACCACACAATGTATGGCATGTTTACTTGTTCTTTCTATTGATAAACCGTGAATAAAACTTGGGTGACAAATAAACCTCAAAGTTGCAATTTGTAGTATATATACCCAAAGTAAATAGATAGAGTCATGTGCTACTATGGTTAGAGTTATTGGCACACATAAATATATTAAGACTACACACATATGCTTTGAGTATAATTTGTTTAACTAATTTTATATGTTCATAACCAGTTAAAGTATTTGGAAACATCATTTTATAGACTAATTTAATATGTTAAATAATAAATATTAATCATTTTATTAGCTATTTATTAGGAGTTGGAGCTATCAGCTGTTCTTAAAAGTGAAACCAAACCCAAAATACATAACACTTTTACATTATTAATGACTTGTTAGTTTAAGTGAAAGTAATTTGATATCATTTAAATAAAATTTAAATTTGAATCTTATGAATAAAGAAATAAACACTAAGATAACTTCCTTCTTATAGGATCTAATATTATTCAACTTCAAATAAATCAAAATTTAATGTATTCTTCTGAATACCAAAGGGTTTTATGTCAAAACAAAAATAACACTTTTCCACAAATTGAGTGGTTTAGGGGCTTAAGTGCTAAAATGGATTAAGCTGATGGGCTTAACAACGGATTTTGTCATCAGAAACTCTCTCAGAACTCTACCTATTAACTTTTTGTGCCTATAAATTGGTGCGCACCGATTCGCCTCCTTCCTCACGAAGAAAGGCACACATCGAAACCCACGACCACCGCAAATCAGATCTCACAATCTCCCCGAATCCGCCGGAATATGGCTCTGGAGTGGGTGGTGTTAGGCTACGCCGCCGGTGCGGAAGCTATCATGGTGCTCCTCCTAACGATCCCCGGCCTCGATGGCCTCCGCAAGGGCCTGATCGCTGTCACGCGGAACCTCCTCAAGCCGTTCCTGTCGGTTGTGCCCTTCTGCCTCTTCCTGCTCCTCGACATCTACTGGAAGTACGAGACGCGGCCCCATTGCGAGGCCGATTCCTGCACCCCAACCGAACACCTCCGCCACCAGAAATCCATCATGAAGAGCCAGCGGAACGCCCTCCTCATTGCCGCCGCTCTCCTTTTCTACTGGCTGCTCTACTCCATCACCCATCTAGTGGTCAAGATCGAGCAGTTGAACCAGCGCATTGAACGGCTCAAGAACCGCGACTAAATGGGATCCATTGATCAGAGTTCTTGCGAATTTCTAATAGCATATCTTGGTTTGTGTTTTCGTTCCGTCTCCTTTGGCCTTTTGTTTTGAGTTTGTGCTTGGGTTCCGTAAAGAATTCACTTATGGATATTCGGTTTAATGGCTGTTTATTTGATAATTTAGGGTTTGTTTGAACAAATTCTGTGAAATGTTTTAGTCTTATATTTTATCATCTTCGTTGTTCAGTCTGTTCTGTATTGTCTGTTTCTGACGGATGAACTGAATCGATTGAAAACATTTAGAGGATGACTTTTGTTTTTTCTTCATATGCATATCCGTAGGATGCACCTAGTTATGGTGCCTTAAATTGAATAGAATAGGTTAGGATAAGGAAGAGGATGTAGCAGGATGATAGACCAATGTTAGTTTCCATATTTTGTTTTGTTTCAGAAGCATCCAAGAGGTCGAAGGGAAAAAGGCAAACTGAAATGACACAAAATAAGCACCTGGGGTGTCAGCCCATTTGGTTGTGAAGGTGCACCAGCAAGGCCTTGACCTTAGTTCAAATCCCCCTTCCCCACCAATAGTAGATGTTCAAAAAAAAAAAAAAAAGACTCAAAATAATCTTTGCCCTTAACAGAGATGACATGAGATAAACATATACTAACTGGTAAGTTGTTCAGTGTGATAAAGCTCTTAATACTTATTTCCCTGGAGGGAGAATGTGAGATTTGGTATGTCTTTTCAGTTAATAAGTCAGGATTTTCTTTGCATCAGCTAAGAAGCATGGTCTATATTGTTATTTATTTCCAATCTTTCTGATTATCTGCTTTCTCATTGCAATTTGAGAAGCTCAAAAGAACAGGTGAATTGCTTGCACGTAACTTGGTCACTTTAACATTGTTGCTTACTGTTATTGTAGATGATCAGGACTTTTCATCCACAAGCTCTTGTTTTCGTTAAACTGTGAACATGGATCCATGGTTTTTGTGCAGCATCTTTAGTGGTCATATTGATTCCAGCTTTTCTCTTTTTTAAATTCTGTCATGCTTTCAATATTTGCATCTCAATTCAGTTCATAGCATGGAAAGAACCTTATTTGCAATCTTTATTCCTATTATAGTGAGCTCCTTCCTACTCTAATTATCATTTTTATTTTTTATTTTTTATTTTGTTTCTGATAGAGTACAGGAAGGGGGAGAACTTTTGTTGTCCAATAGATACGACTATAGTTTTCTCAGTAGTGGATAATTTATTCTAAGTAGTGCCATAATTTCATTCCATTTCAATTGTCATGCCCGGTCAGCTCTATCCCAATCTCTGTTACGAGCTCTCTTTTGTCAACCAGGCATTTCTGTGTATATGGTGGCGGGTACTTGTGTGGTGATAGTCAACATGTGCATGTAAGACACAAAGGTCCAATAACACGGCAATGGAGTGCTGGGCTGTTTGTGTTTGCGCTTGTGCTTGTACAACTATATATATATACACACACACATCAATGTTAGTTGCTTGCTAATATCGGAATTTGAATCTTTAACCTTAACCATGACTGTATTTACCTGAGTATTTACCGTCACCAATATCTGTACATTTTGCTGTTTTGTTAGTAATGTTTCCTCAAAAATCCTTAAGTGGTTTCGCACGTGCGAAATCTGGATGTGAGCATGCTATTTATTTTTCTGAAAAGAAAAAAGGACTTTCCCAACGATCCTTTCTTTCCACCCGGTTGACCTTTGTTAGAATGGCAGGAGTTAGATCTGGCTTTAGCTAAACTTGATGATTTGAAAGCAAAAGGACAAGATTTGTTGGAGGAGGTAAAGCTGGATATTTTGAATTCTAGCTGAATTAGATTTGGGTGAAATTGCATAGTATATATATTTTTTTTCAATTTAGCATTTTTTGAGTTTCTATAAAAGTGTTGATATGAATTTGTAAGTTGGCCAGATTTGGCCATGAGGCAGTCTTGGTGGCTAGATTATGGCTGTGACATATTTCAAGTATGAATGACACATGATGGGGTTCCATTGGGCATACCACAAAAGGATTGTTTCCTTAAAAATCTTGAAGTAGCTTGTACATACACAAAATCTGAATGCAGGTATGTCACTTATTTTTTTTTTTTTTTAAATTCAAATTGCAACAAACCAGATAATGTATATCATCCTAATTAATTTTTACAGATATGCATCTCTTTAGTAAATCTGATCTTACCTTCGATTAATACGTGACATCACTTTAAAAATATAATTTATGGTGTAAACAATTAGAATTTGTACTTTGTGCAGTGGCACATATTGGATTTTTATAGAGAGCTTATTATGATATACTAAGTTTTGAATCGTTATTAAGTTAATATTATGGAATTTCATTATTAAGCTTGTAGAAATAAAATAATTTGCAAAAAAAAAAAATAAATAAATAAAAAGGAAGAATGTGTTCTTTTAACTACATCTTCTCACTTCTTAGGAGCTTTTCAATCGGAATATGCCATTAGGATTTGGTTCTGGAATTGGACTGAAAAGAAGGATGATGGTAGGGTGGGCAAGTTTGGAAATGAAAAAAATTTCTTCTCTTCAATGGTTCAAAAAAAGGAGAAAGAAAATGTTGTCCCCAAAATCTCATTCCAATCACGTGGTAGATAGGATTATGAAAGTGTATTACTCATTTTGTTCAAAATAAGAAAGAGAGATTCTTAGTAATCTTCGCTACTTCCAAATGTGAAACTTGATTATGAGTCGATACTTTATAGAAGAGTGCAAATTAAATCAATTATAAGATGTGCCTTGATCAAATGATTGTTGTAGAAATGAGGGTGTGTTCTTGCATGCAAGTTCATAAAAATTTGCTTGGAAGAATATTAGAGACTTTTTACAACTAGGATTAAAAAATTAGTTTGTTGATCAAAATAAAAGAGAAAAAGAAAAAGAAAAAGAATACATGGCAGGAAAACCAAATTACAAGGAGGAAGCGTGATGCTATTGTGAAAGCATGAAATAAAGGCTCTGTAGCTAAGAAAATGTAAAACTAAACTTAATGGAAGCTTAGTGTATGAATTTAGAGCAAAGTATAGTAAATTGAATTGTAGGAAATCAAATACATCAATGAAGAGGTTCAAAACAAAATAACAAAAACTAAAGTTATGGTTAAGGCAACATAGAGTTAAGGACTAAATTAAGAAAGTTGTTCAAGAAAGTATAGAACTAAATTAAGACATTGCTTGTGAAACTAAAATATAAGTTGAGCTTATTAGAGAGACGCAGGTCATCTTTACTTGATTTCATCTCCTTGTATTTATAGAAGTAAACACCCTTTGGCAGCATGTTGGAAATATGTGATAGTATCTTAAAAACCAACAATAGCATGAAATCTATAAAAAATTAACTAACCTATTGGCATCGCTGATCATGCTCTTAAAAATTTATAACAATGAAATGGCTTTATTGATGACATGGGAATAACCATGAGTTTCATTTGAGAGAAATTTATATCAACCAAATAATCTTCAACAAACAAGATACCTACCAATATGGATGATATGTGGTATCATTTTATTGGTTATAAAAAATGGGTGTAAGTAGAAAAAATAAAATACTTTGAGATTAAAAATGTCAAGATATTTAATTATAAACACTAAATATGTGAGATATTCTGTGAATTGTAATTTTACTAAATTTATAATGTTGTTGCTATTAAATGTCCCTGAAGATTTTCAAACTCTTTTTTGAAAAAAAAAAAAATTAGGTTTAATGTGAAAAGCATTGCTCAATTCTAAACAATTGAGACATTGTGATTTTCGAAACACAGAAACGTGGGTTGCCTCGCCGAATGGGATTAGTTTTTAATTTTCAAAACTTAAATGACATAAAACAATAAAAAAAAATTGATAAAATTACCATGTGATACAATATTTTGACACTGTCATTTAATTTGAAAAAGGAAAACTTCTTACGGTTGAAATTATTATAGTTTCACGGTAAAATAATTTTATTAAATATAATTCATCAATGTTGTTATAAATAATATTTTTTAAGAACGATCTTCTTGTATTAAAATAGGGTAAAAGACATTATAATGAAATCTTTACCTTTCAAGAAATATAACAAACTATCATTCTTAGTTGCTACAATTAATAACATATTGGATTATAAAGTAGCTTAAATAATAAAATAATTAAAAAATAGTTAAATACTATGTATTATGTTTAGCTACTCCCTCTCTAGCGATAATTACATTACCACGACACATTTGGCACCATAGTAGATTCCAAGACTTTAAGAAAAGTTGGCAAAACCTCACAGATTGCCCTTCAATTTTTTAAGCATGTGGAACGTTATCTCACACTTTATAATATATGATTTTATACTCTCTTGATATGATTTTATACTCTCTTGGTATTTGAGTGTGTAGAACTTTACCCCTTATCTTACAACTTTAGGAGAATATAACATCATAAACTTGAATATCATGAGGGTATAAAATCATAAACTCGAATATCATGAGAATATAAAATCACATATTATAAAGTGAGAGATAAAGTTTCATACACGGCAAAAGTTAAAGGGTAATATGTGGGTTTTTGCTAAAAAAAAGTTTAGTTAGGATTGAGAACCAAATTGAACCTACTACCCAATAGAAACAAGACCAATCCGTTAGTCCGTACCTACGTTCCATGATCACCATGTGAAGAAGAAAATCAAATGAAATTGCATAAAAATGAAAATGAATGTTTTGAGGCCGTGGTCTTACTTTCTTTAAAAATTTAAAATTTTTAAAGATTTAAAATCCTTAAATATTTAAAATTTTTTAAAATACAACAAAACTCAAAACTTTCAAAAAATAAATTAGATGTAGAGCTCTCACTTTGTATAAAAATTTATATTATCTGAAAAGTCACTATTTGTAGAGATATATTCTTACAAAAAAAAATCATTTCATAAAATATTTTTAGACTTTCAAAAGTTATATCTAATTTTTAAACATGTCTCTCTAAATTCAAATTTAATAAAATAAATTTAAAAAATCCAAAAATAATAAAAAAAATAATGTTATGGAAGTCAAGCATGAGGTGCCCCAATTGCACCAATTGCCTAAGTGCCTATCTTTGACTATATATATAAAGGGTAAGACTCAATTTATCTTAAATTTACTTCACTTCTCTATTTGTTGAAAAAAAGTAAGTTTTTATAAACTCCTCTAAATTCTTATATTTTCTTAATATAGGATGTTAATATTTGCAAACTATTTAACACCATCAGCGTCATTTATATCCATATGGGCTTGGAATTATTGTAACAAAAAGTTGTAAATACAATTTGTAAGTAAGGCAGTTCTATGAATCTTTTTTAAGAACAATAGTTTTTGCTCCTCCACATACAACGTTATTTTCAGAATACAATACTCACGAATATGAATTTCAAATACATAAAGCCAGTGCACACAATTTTAAAAGCAAAGTTTGGAAACAAAGAGAGAGAACAATAAGATATTAAATTTCTTTAAGAAGCAAAGCACCTGTTTGTGGGGCTATTTTATTTATCTAGAAAATCCCAACTGGGGCCTCTTGCACAACAATTCTTCAAAATGCAAAACTTACAGGTTTCCTTCTTATGTAGATTTTATACCAAATACTTTAACAATTTCTTATGAAGCATTGGAACAAGTATTTAGACAAACAACCATTTGGAACGGTTTCTTACACCCGTCTACCAATTCAATTTTGAATTTGGTGGTTTTCTAGGTAGTTTTCCACAATTTCAACGATGCTACATCTTCTCTCCTTTTTCCTCATTTTCTTTTGGTTAAACCTCTAATTTGGTCCCTCAATTATTGTAAAGATCTTTGACTTAATCCTAAAATGAAAATAATCTTTAATTTGGTCTCTAAAGTTTTTAAATTTAACTCCAAATTCGTCACTTTGTTAAAAAATAGTAGATGCATTTGTTACTTAATGGCTATTTGTCACATTAATAATGGGACATATCAGATTTTTTTTTTAATGAAAGAACCAACTTGAAGCTAAATTTACAAAATTTAAAGACTAAATCATGGGTTTCTTTAATTTAAGGACTAATCCAAGAGTCCATACAATAATTGAGAGATCCAATTGGGGGTTTAACCTTTTCACAATGCTTTGCCTAAAAAATTGTAGCCCTTGGTTTCTTTTTTCTTTAATTACTAAGTAATATAAAAGAAGATAAATATATGTATTTCTCTAAAAATACTCTTTTATACTTAAGTGTGCCACTTATTTTGTAGCAAAAATAAGAAAAATATTTTCTTAATTATCCTATCCTTTCAACCAGTCAACTTTTGAATTGGATGATTGGAAAATGTCAACACAATAAAAAGGTGCGCTACAAATCAAAACGATTGGTAAGAAGAATGGATGCTTTCTTGCACAAATGAGTTAGAAATAATGCTTTGAAAAATTATCAGGAACTTTCCACATTAAGGATTAACAAATTGTGTTTATTAGTGAGGAAGAAAGGCACAACAACTAAAATGTAGACAACTAAAAAAATAGAAAATGCATGACAACTAGAAGACAGATTAAAGTTAAAGACTACTATGTAATAGACTTAAAACACAAACTGGACTAAGCAAATAACAAATTTAAACATTAACCATTTTCCGCAGTTTAACGAAGCCTATAATTGCAAATTGAAAATATATTCGAATACTAAATTAACTTACTTGCAAATTAGATAGTAGAAGCATAAACAAAGAAGAGATAAAAGTAAATTTGATTGCAACAATTAAAACATAAAGGAACAAGATTGCATTAACTTAATTTAAAAATAATTGTAACACTTAAATCAATTACAATAACAGATCAGGAATTGTAAGTTGACAAATTTAAAGACTAAATTCATGAGAGGAAACTAAAAAAGACATAGGAACAGATTCTATGTACAACAATTAGAATGAAAAAATTGGTGAGACCTAATCTCAAATCCTAAAAACTAATTGAATTTGATTAAAACAAATAAAAGTTAGGAAAACTTCTCAAAGCTTTGATCTCTAAAACATGTTACAGATTGCTTGATTTTGGAAATTGATCTAGATTTCTTGATGCTGCAGGCTTCAAAAACTAATTTCTTTTGAAAGATATTGTTTTACTTCACTACTGGAGGTGATTTCGATGGTAATCGCTCCATTTTCCATATCCATTCATTAGAGTTTGAGTTGTTCCACATTTAATAGCAATAATCCCTAAAATCTCTCAACGTCTAATAGTTTCCTAATCTAACTCAAGTACATTCCAAGGTGATCTTCTTTCCTAAAAAGTCTCTTAATTTCCTAATTCAATTAAATCACAAATTAATCTCATTAAATGGAAGAATTAAATTACCTCTTGCCATTGTTGGACCACCATAACAATCACGATTTAGGCTGTAGAAAATTAACTTTAGACCAACTATAAAATCTTGATGATGTAGCATCTTCAGATTGGGTAATATTTATGGTGTAAAGAATATTATATATTATAGCAATAATATATATATATATATATTTTAAAATGAGAGATTCATTCACACAAAAATCTTAAACATTATACTTATACAAAATCTTAACCATTAATTTCTCTACTTTTAATGGTTGAGATTTGTCATGAATTTTTAGGTAAAAAGATAATTATCTTTAATAAATATGAATAAATCTGAACCATTAAAAATAAAGATAAATAGTTAAGATTTTATGTGTGATATATAAAGTTTGTATGTAAATATATCCCTAATCATATTCTAATAATACTAAACACCACATATATGGTTGAGATTAATACCACCATTAAATTTGTTAAGCCCACCAATTATAATTATAATTTATTAATTTATAACTTTTTTTTTAAATAGTTGGTTATTATATTCGAAAATATCGATTTATAAACTAATTTTAATATGTTAAGTGATAAATATTAACTATTTTTAATAATCAAATTAAGATAAATATTTTATAGTTTTTGGTGGCCTTAACAAATTTAATGGTAGCCATAACTATAGCCCACATATACCTATACACGCACGTACGCACATGCACACACTTAGTGTATGTAACAAGAATCCTCTTTGAATCCTCTTTGAACCCACTACAGCCTAGTTGTATGAGCTTGGATACCAGTGGTGTTTACCATTTGACAAGAGAACACTTTCCCCGTCAAACAATAAAACCCTTTGTGATTGGTCTTCATTGTAATCGAGTCTAGTGCCTTAATGATCCCCCTCTTTCTTCCATTAACGATAGTTTTCCCCATAACTTCATAATCTTCTCCACCATGGTCATCACCCTCACTCTACTATATCCTTGCCATGCCAAGATCCAATCCCTGACACATTGTGGTGCCTTCCATTCTTTTAGTTATTATCCACACTCAGCAAACTTACTCTTGTAATTGCACCAAATCAGAGATCCTTCTTCAATCTACGTCTTCACTTCGGATGAACCTGCAAAGCCCCGAGGTGGGTCTCAGGGTAGACACTTCAATGCCTAAGTCAACAATAATCGGGTCTATCTTTGGACTAATGAAAAAGGAGCTTTAAGATGTTTTCAATTACCTTTCTGAGGTGGCCCTTGGGGGGTATTTATAGGCCTTCGTGAGGTATTCACGTGGCTTGCTTAGCAGAATGATCGGAGTGTGACGTGTCCCTTAAAGAGATAAATTCGGGACCGAGGAATTGAGTGATAAATTAGGTATGGGCATGCCCATTGTATTTACTGTGCAGCTATTTGACCAGAAGTGCTGGATTTAACTTCATTTCGGCTATTAAGGAATTATAGCAGTACGTCCGAGGTCCTTAAGCTCGGACCTATCCTTACACTATTCCCCCCTCGAAGTCATTCACTTATGAATGATTAGTGTGGAAGATGAGTGTAGATAGGGGTAGTCAATATAAAAATGTATGACATGAAGTTGTGTTTTTGGCTGCAGTCGAGGTAAAAATGTATGACATAAAGTCATGTGTTTTGGGTTGTAGCCAAGGAAAAAATGCATGACATGGAGTCATGTGTTATGGCCGTAGCCGAAGTAAAATTGATGACTCAATCACTGTGACCAGAGCCGAAGTAATATTGGTGACGTGTGGTCACTATGGCTAGAGCCGAAGTAAAATAGGTGACGTGTGGTCACTATAGCTAGAGCCGAAGTAAAATAGGTGACGCATAGTCACTATGGCAGGAACCGAAGTAAAATAGGTGACTCAGGGTCACTATGGCTGGAGCTGAGGTAAATAATGATGACCGGAGTCATAGCGGTCGGAACCGAAATAATAAGTAATGACTAGAGTCGTGGGCGAAGCTGAGGTAATAAGTAATGACCGGAGTCATGTGGCTAGAGCTAAGGTAATAAGCAATGATCGGAGTCACAAGGGCCAGAGCCGAAATAAAAGTAATGATCAAAGTCATGTGGCTGGAGCTGAAATAAAATGTGTGACTCGGGGGCACTGTGGCCGTAGCTGAAGTAAAGATGCATGACCCATAGTCATGTGTTATGGTTGTAGCTGAGAATGATGACTTGAAAATGACGACTCGAAAGTGACGATTTGCAACCTCATGAGCCATAATAATGGAAGTCAGACTTTTGAGAGTCATGCTTTATAGAGCTAGGATCAGAACCAGTTTTTGAAGAGTTGATTGAATGCCAATTTTGGTAGCTGGAGATGCCTATAACAGAATCCCACCTTGAGATGCCCATAAGAAAATATTGGTCTCTCGAGTCATAGCATAAAATCAAACCCCTTTGAGGGTTGTGCTTTGCAGAGTTAAGATTAAACTGAGCTTTCATAGAACAAATGAGCTGAGAAGCTGATAGTTGATGGACGCAAGCTCTTGTAGATCGAATGGGCTAAAAAAGCCAATAGCTAATGGGCTCAAAGGCCAATAGCATTTTCTGATGAAATGATAAGTTTAAAAGCTAATAACATATTTCTGAGTCTTCCAAGCCAAGGAGTTAACAAACTCATGAGACCTGTAAGAATTCATTCTAAACATAGAACTTGACAAGATACCATTAGCTCATCAATAATCAATAATATATGAAATGCATCAACATTAAAGTGACACAATAATTAAATATAAATGTCTGTGGCATGAGTCATCAATAATAAGATATGAATATTTAAAATATACTCAGGTTGAGTTATTCAATCAGCAAATTAAACAATTAAACGCATGCTAAGCAAAGTATAGAAGTTTATGTTTATGTATTCCCACTCCCCCTCTCAAAAAGAGATTTATCTTTTTAAGTTAGAACTAATAATAAAGACCACTAGCTCATGGATACCATTAACTAGTAAATTATTCCACCATTTGTAGGAGGCTCCACAAATGTATAAATAAATGTCATTTAAGCCACTCACTTTTAGTTAAAACATGAAGAATATATTATATTCAATATATTCAATAAATAGGGGTTTAGCATATCTTATTAATGAATGACCCATGAGAGGTGGAACAGGATGGCTAGTGAAATGGCAAGCTAGCTGTCTTGAAAAGTTGGCGAAGTAAACCAACTAGCTACAAGCCGAGATCTCTAGAGTAGATTCAAAATGATTAACGTGGCTTTAGGAGGCTAAGTGCCAGTGTTTTAGATTTCTTTTTAGTTTATTGTATGCTTGTTCTAATAAACTACAGCCCACAAGGCCTCCACGCTATATAAAAGTTCATAATATATATATATTCTTCATTGGGTGCTTTAGAAATTTTATTAGGTGACATCCTTGAATGTCTCACCTAACTTCAAGGATCACCTTGGCTATTATATTGAAATATTTCAAGGTTTTCCTTAATTTAACTAATCAACTAGACCTGAGCTTGGTTGTCATAAGGATGAGCTCAAGTAGTTGAGTTCATCTGAGGTTGTTTACCTCATCCAGGGGTAATTCACCTTGGAATGGGCTATCATGAGGATGAGCTCAAGTAGTTGAGTTCATCCGACAGTGTTTAC